TTGGAGCTACACACCAGGAGACAACACACTCTGACATGCATGAACACAGTATCCTGACGCAGAACTTTATTTGACTGTCTGGCTTTTATGTATGAGCTCGCTGCTGTGTATGTCATCTGTTTAGGCTGTCTGTTAACATGGTTCAGTTCGTGTAATTGCACTGAGGATGTGTAAAACAAGTCAAGTGTGTGTGTCCGGTTTGTTTCTCCTCGACCTTGCGTGATGACACAGAGCGCGTGTGTGTGACTGTATGAGGTATTGTCTCCATGTGTCGTACGGCATTACAGAAGGAATGAGTAGAAACCTTGTGTGTTTGCGTGCCCTGTGTGTCCTCAGGTGTCTTTTGTTCTAAGTTTCATCCTTCCATGATTGTTCTCTACTTTGAAGTCTGTCAATCCTCTCCATGCAGACAAAAAAGAATCCTTCGAAGAAAAAAAAACCCCCTAACAATAGGGCCCATGTCCCCTTTGTGTGTTATGGTGTCAGTCATAAATAAACACAAAAATCCTCCATCCCATTACCAACATAAAAATTTGCTTTCCCTCAGTGAATTATTACTTGTGACTTGACAATGAATTGCATGTTAATTTATTGAAAAATTGTAATATGAATACGCTGCATATTAAAATTGGAAGTATTTCTGAGGTTTGAATGAGGAGGTAGCTCTACTATACGTCTTGATACATTTTTTTATTAATGTTGGACTAAATAATAACTTCTTGTTTTCAGAAAGAAAAAAAATGTATAGCCCACTCTACCATACTTGCCCAATGTGCTAATTAGTCAGTGAATATTGGAGTTGATTCATTTGTCAGGTGGGCAGAAATATGACTCCAGTGGGATGATAATATTACAGTGTGTGTGTGCTTTAAGCTGTCAAAATTCTGGATGTGCGAAAAAGCCGCTTGTTCAGTTCATTTTTATTCAATAGGACGATTGCAGTTCAGCATAGTTCCAATACAGAGCGTGAAGCTGATGTGTTGCATGGAGAGTTTATAGCTACTGTAATGCTGATTGTCAACTCTTGTCTCTAGTTGGGCTTTTTTTTACATATACAATGCAAATATACAGCTTTCAGTCTCATAAAACCACAACACACTGCAGACATGGAAGTACAATGAAATACTCATAATAAAATACAGAACTATGATTGATGAGGAAAGAATAAAAACAGCTACAATTAGCTAATCAGCTCCTGTTTGTTTTTTATCCAGCCCTTAACCTTTATTGTGACTGCTTTTATATCTGTAATTGGTTTTGCTTGGAATGTGTTCCAGAGCTGACAGCCATTTAAAGCTGATTGTCCAAATTTAGATCTACGATGTGATATGTTTCAGCTGCTATTCGCTGTGCTCCGAGTTCCTCCGTTACTCTCTCGTCTGTGAATGTTTGAGGCTCTGGCGCTAAACGGTTGATACATTTGAATGCTAATTTGAGAAAGCAAAAATGAATGAAGCTCTCAAAGTTAAGTAGATTATATCTTCTCACAATATGGCAGTGATGCCACCACAAGCAGTTTTTGAGGATTATTTTACTTACATCTTTCAGTGCAATATAAAATTCTGCACCACCGTGGAAGCCATTCATGGCTCGAACCTCTACAATGTCTACAAACTGTGTGATTTTCATACTCTAGACATTAGCTCTGAAAAGATATTTCACCATACTGAATGCCTCTTCCAAAAGCTGACAACTTGCTCCACCGCATACTACTTTTGAGCCTTGATGCAGTTATTTTATTGATCCAGTGTGTTTTATTTTCCTCATAATCTCTCTAAATTGTTTCCACACTTGTCCACTCTCTGTTCTGTGTGAGCAAAGCCTGTAGTTCAGCCAAAAAAGAGTGTTGGCCGTGATTGTTGTTTGCAGCTTCTTCACTGTCAGACAGAGGAGCGCAGATTTTTCTTCTGTTGTTGGTGCACAAGGTTTCTTTTTCCTAGCAACATCTTTATGCAGAGCAAAGTAATGTGGATAAAATATCATGATTTAATATTTATATTTGGTTTATTTTCCAGATGGACCAGATATCACGCATGACTAGCTCCATTAGAAAGTTGAAAACCCAACCAGTCTTTGTGTTTTTACAGTTGCTTTCTCTGATAAATGGTGTAATTTTGGTAATTTACTAAAGATAACACACCTTTCAAACCCACTGGAGGGTTAAAGTTCTTCTGTCAGTTGAAACACTTTCAGACACAATATTATTTAACACATTACGGATGCATTACATCACATTACTTGTTTATACGTGTTCATCTGGCTGGGCTCCATCAGGGCGTTCTTCTGTATTTACATTTGTCAAAAACGTAAACACATTTGGCTGAATTTGTCAGAAGAACTTTGGCTGTGACTAATAATCTGTCATAAAAAAGGACAAGCTAGATAAACACATTGCAACTTTTTCAAAACAGATGTGTAATAATTCCATCAGAGTTATATTTGTGGATAGTTTTCTCATATTGTGAGCTCTGCTGTAGGTGTGAGAATAGCCTGTAAATGGCTGTGTCTTCATCAGATTGCCAAACAAAAGAAAAAGATTTTTTTTGGACTTAATAGTTCAACGCTTGAATTCAACTACTCAACTTCCACCCAGAGAGTTTCAAGTCCACAGAGCAAAGACAAACAGGATGTGTACACTGAGCAGAAAGGGCAAACCATGACTGTTGCAGGGCTAACCAAACCCCTCGACGCACACGTTTTCCCGAACAGGTTATCTTGTGCTTCATGCTCTGTGGAAATGCAACTGTTGGGATTAGAAAGCACCACCCACACATGCACACCGCACACATATATCACATATAGCAGCGTCTGAGAGATGAGATAAGGGGCTTAGATGAAGGGGGCAGGGTTGTATCTGGTGAAACTGTGACTGACATGGCGGCTCTGGGGTAATCCTACTAATCCTCTGCTAGCTCAGGGGTGCAGCAGGACCGAAGGCCTTTGACCCCGCATCAAAAAAGAAGTGCTAACTCAAACACACACACACACCAAACTTTTTGTGGCATTTCAGAATTCATATTCACACGTCTTCATCATTAGTGGAACTTAGAGCAGCTGCATCACTACACATGCAGGGGGAATGATTATCTTAAATGAGGCTTATAATGCACTGATAACATTTACATATGTATAAAAGTGCAATTAGGAATTACTGACACCAATTGCACAACCATTCTCTCGACATCAGCGGGACAAGTGCGAGGTTGTGAACAAACAACTGACACAAATACTAGAGTGTCACTTGACTGCCTGCTGGTAATTATTTTACAGTAAACCTTGTGTTTTGATGCACCTCTCTTAACAGAAACAAATGCTGAACAATGTGTAATCAGAAACTATTTAAAAATACAAAAAAAAATCTGTGTTGATGTGGAGTTCCCCTGATCATACACTGTAAATCACTTCAAGTTCTTTCATCTTAGAAGCCTAAGTTCCCTGCTGCCTGTGTAATATGAGTTAGCAGCATTTTAGTTGAAAACTAAGTGAATTAAATCAAGTGAACGTGAAAAACGAGGTCAGTAAATCTAAGATATTAGGTTGAACAAACATGAATATTTGTTTGATTATTATGACATTAAAGTCATTATTAAACATTTTAACACATAATAAAGACACATGCAAGTTTCCACCACGTCTGTTGTCTCTACATGGTAATAAAAAAAGAGAGATAACGTCGGTTCATATACGGTTTTGTTTGTTATACACACAATTGAACGAGTTGAGTGAAATCTTAGCTGCTCATTCATTCAACTCATCATTTTAAAAATAAAGGAGCTCTTCTTTTTTTAGTTCTAAAGTTGTATGAAAATAAGAATTACAGATTTTAAGTCAAATTAATTAGAAGTGAGCAAAACATATATTTTAGTCAGTAAACTAGAAAAGATGAGTTGATGTGGCTGCATTCCTCAAACAGTGCAGCTCCTTACAGCTGTTTGGAGAGGGAGTTTATGCTTTGTTTATCTGTTTGTGATCTAAATTTGAACCAAAACTCACAAGATAAGAATATAGTAGCCTCCTGTCAAGTCCAAATCACTCACACACCTTTTAACACAGAGGAACTAACTGGGGGTCTTCATGAGAACTGATTCAATCCGAGTAAACTGAGCACTGTACCAAATATAAAGATACTGGTTGAATGACTTCTTTTTTTTAAAATGTATTTCAAACATCTGTACTGTAATCAGATACAATGTCTTTTCTTCCTAATAGGGAAGAAATAAAGGCGAACCACGTTTTATATTTTGAGTAATGCTATGGAGCGATTTGGCGTTGGAGGTTTAAGTCTGTTCATGTTGTTCGTTCACCTCCATCGTTCTAACACTCTGCGTCAAAGCAGACAAGGTAGAATAGGACCATAGCAGAATGGGAGCTTTCAAAATAAAAGTAGTGTCTCGTTTTCTTCTCCCAACATTTTTTTATTTTTTATTTTTAGTAAAATTGGGAATACTAGGGAAAAATCATGCTTACAATTTGGTATGAAATCCCAACAGCGACAAATATGTATTAAAAATGTATAGGGTTGTTGTCATGATGTTACCATTGAGGTGTTGGGGCATGTTATCGATAATAATTACTATGTTAAACATATATCAATATATTGCCAATTGACTGTATTTTTTTCTGTTAACTTGCATTATGATGCATATAATTGCAGCAATCTTTAAGTTATGATGTCGTGTAATATCTATGGGTTTATCAGTCACATCATGGCGATTGTTATATAAAATGCATTAACGAAAATGTATAAAACCATATTGCTGGTATAAAAACATCATGTGCACGATGTTGTATTCATTTTATGAGGGTTATTATTAATGTAATAAGATATTTAATTTACCAGAACTCCCGTTCTCAACAGCCGGTTTACTTTGACAGGTTGAAGTGGAAGTGAGTTTCTGTCGTTGGCGCAGCTTGACGCTGTTGCCTGTTGAAAAGAACTTGTGCTCCTGAGTGAGCGCCCACACACCAGAGCCAGTGATGGGAGACAAACTCCGTGGCTGACGCGCGCACCGCTCAACTGGTGATATTTTAATTGCCTTTTATTCCTCTAGATTTTTGTTTCTATTATTAATTAAACTATTTACTCAGTTATTCAAGCAGAATTGAAGCAGGAGGGGAACGTAGGCTATGTCATTTCTATTCCACTTTCCATTTTGGCTATGATATGTGTTTGGGGAAATTACGCACCGACTCTCCAGGATTTGAGTCATGGCAGAGGAGTGAGGCAGCTTTGCCAAAATGCCTGTTAACTGGAATATAACTTTTCCACGGCGGTCCTATGGAATATAGTCCGATTCTACACAGTCTACATGTTGTGCCATCATCCCACGTGAAAAACAAACTCTTTGTATTCTGCATAATGCTCTCCCTTTGGGTGTACATGATATATTGTTGTGTTGGCTACTGCTCAACGATGCCAAACCTGACCTACGGCTCGGTGAACAGACACGAGAACGATGCAGAAGTTGACAATCAGGAGTCCTCCTTAGGGGCGTCCAGGGACTTGCTGAATAACGAGAACGAGTTGGACAGCAGAGGAGACGAGTGGGATGAAATTAGAGGCGAGGCGAAGGCGTTGGATGATAATGCCATGTCAGGTTTCCTCAATGAGTCGGAAAGTAAAAAGTTGCCTCAAGCGATCATCATCGGGGTGAAGAAAGGAGGAACCCGGGCGCTGCTGGAGTTTCTGCGCCTGCATCCAGACATCCGAGCGGTGGGAGCTGAGCCGCACTTCTTCGACCGCAACTACGACAAGGGACTGGACTGGTACAGGTACATCCATCCATGATCTAACATTAAAGTGGAAATGAGACACGCACACACAAAGTGTACGAAGAACAGTTTCATTTTCTTGTATTTACGCATTTACGCATTTTGGCATTTACGCGCACAGTGTCTTTCTCAAGAGCGTCGTTGTGGAGACTGCTCGGTACATATTTCGTGGCTGTAATCCACTTGCGGCAAAAAAACACGTTCCTCTTCGAAAATGATCATTGACAGCTTGTCAGTTGGTACAACTTTTGTTGACTTTGTCACTTATAGGAAGATTCACCATCTGAAAAAGCTCCTGGGATATCGAGAATGTCATGATAAGAAAAAAACAACAACTACAAAGTAAAAAAAATACTAGTAAAATAGTCTAGGCTGCTATATTACATCTGACTGTAACCATAAAAGCCAACATTTTAAATAAAGACGTTCTTCCTCTTTAGCTCTACCTTCATTAACCTTTCAGCTAAATAACACACTTTTTTTAAAAGCTGTGCTCATCAACTGTGATAATTAAATGATATTTCAGTGAGGAGTGATCAGAGTGTAAAAAGTAAACAAGTGAGAAAATAAAATAACTCAAGAAAAGGTACTTTTGCTGTCAAAGACAAATAACATCGCTCTGCTGTAAGATTTTCTCTTTTTTTTTTTAGTATTAAACAGTAACCAAGATGAACAGTATATTCAGATTGTGGCGTGAATTTTGATGTGTGGTGCAGCTTTATATTGATTTATTTCAGTTTATTAAAGGACTATAAACTGAATGTGACCTTAGATTCATAAACTTTAATTACTTTATTCATTACTTTAATAAATCTATGATTCAGGCCTGATGTCATGGTGCAGTATATTATGTTGTTATGGAGAAAAAGGAAACTAAAACTCACTCATTGGTTTAGCCACACAATAAAACACTGCTGATAAAGATGATAAGTGTGACCTCAGGTGGTGGTGTTATCTAGAGTATTTTTACAAACTGTTGATATAGCCATTATGGAAAGCAGGGTCAGGCCGTTTGAACAGAAGGATAGCACAGCTTGCAGTTTCACCAACTGCAGGTGCAATCAAACCTGTACAGTAGTGCCAGTCATAGCTGTCATCTCAACATCACAAAAAAAAAAAAACAACTAACATTTTCAGTTTGCTCTGATGTTTGAGACAACTCTTGCCAGTCATGTTTATTACAAAGCACGATTGATTTTGTGCTTGTTTGCGTGACCTTCACTGAGAGTTCCTGGAATGCTTCTGCATCTGTCCTTGGATCTCGACTTTCCGTGGCGCGAGGGGAGAAAGGGAGGAAAAAAAAAAGAAAAAGATAGAGCTTCCATTTAGACCTGACCCAGTTCTTGATGAAATTTAAAGAAATGATTTGGAGTCAGCAAGTTACATAATGTTGTCATACTTGAGCGAGCTGGAGAAAGATTTCAAGAAATTCCATCGTATTAATTCAGTTGCAGTAATTTGTTTTGATCTTCACTCCACGTAAATGCCAGTGTCAAAGGCGGATGCTAGTGACCTGTGGTCGCTTGTGCCCTCAATGTTGTGTTATGCAACGTTTTTACGGTAAACTGTGTCATTGCAACATCCGTATGCTCATGAGTCAGCTGCACACTTGGTGTTCTTAGCGGAAATAATACAACATATCCTTGGAAACAGCTGACATGTTATTTACCCCAAATGTTCACAGAAACGGTCTGATACTGAATGCCTTACATCAGAGCCACTACATTGCTAATAAGAGATAATAGGAGATAGTGCTGCTTCAGGTGTCCATTTGACTGAGCTGAGGGATTAACGGGACAATGTCAAAGGATCTAGACACTGTTTCAAAGCCGGCTCCATGAAGCTACAATAGGGGAAGCGAAGCATTGTTCAAAGGACTTCTTGCTTAAACTCCTTTAAGAATTTCCGGACAGGTTTAGGACATTTTTGGGTGGATCAGTCCGTGTCCATCTCTACAGACTGAGCATCAAGAACAAGTTGGAATTATCCTATGCTTTCTAATCATTTTACTAAGTGTTTGTGCTTATTTTTTACAATCCACAAATGCTGCACAAGTAGACAGTGCATGTAAAGAATAAATTATGTTTAAAAAGGCCAGGCTCTCATCATTAAATATGAATGCAACTGAATGTTATGTAAGTAATAGTTAGAGAAGGATTTGTATGTAATTGAGACACCCCAGCGTCTTGTTCACAGTGGCAGGTACACATGAAACACACCACTAGTCAATGTGGGAAACCGTTTGATCTTGAGGACTTATACTGCATAATGAAGACTTCTTTTCCCGGGGAGGCGATCTGACTAATTAAAACTACTTGGCTTGAGTTGTCACAGTGAGATCACTGTGCCACAAACTGACCCCATGCTGCAGAACAACATGACATGAAGTCAGCCCTTAATGATCATTTAGTGATGCTCAGAAAACCCCTGGCTGGCTTCAAGGTGGAGCACATCGTTGTTGGATGAATTGTTTTTCTCACACGCAACACCGTGTATTAATAAATGAGAAATTTGGAGCCCTGTTGAAACCTTTCATCATGCAATTTCACGTCCTCTTTGATCAAAGGTAGGCTTAAAGCCAGGCCAAGGTGATTTGTTTGCCCATATGTTTCACTTCATTGCCTGCAGACTAATGGTGAGCAGTAGCTCGGGGAGAGGCGCAGTGTGCTGGGTGGGCTTATCAGCTCCTGTGGTGGCTTTGAGCTGTGGCCATCATTTATCTGCTGTGATTGGTGTGTCCATCCTGCTGGAGGTCTGCTGCGTCCATCCCTCTGGAGCCCCACATAGAGGAGAGGCCCTCGCACAGCAGGACACCAACCACAATATAGCATGTTTTCACCCACGGGCAGAAAAAGAGAAGCAGACAGACAATTGTGCACGCTTACTCACACAGAGCACAGGAGGCAACTCCCAAATGCCGTGGGAACGGCTTCCTCCTCGGCCCCTCCTTTCTTTAGTATCAGCATAAGTCTGACTTCCTCCTGTATGTCTTTTTCTGACAGGTTAACTACTTATCTGCTGAATGCACCCTCAGATGAAGGTCTTCTGGGTTCTATACAGTAGATGTGACTTAATTGCTGTAATCATGTTTTTCTTCTTGAGGTTCCATATGTGGAACAATGAGAAGCTTTCTCACTAACTCACTGAGGGTGTCAGAGAAGACAGCCTAATCCTCCTCAGTGCCCCCAGGGGAGCTTATTGCAGGCCAGTGGCAGATAGAGGGCAGTAAATTTAAAGTGAGTCTTTTCTTACTGTTGCGCTATGGAGCTCAATGAAAGGAGATGCTGAAGAACCCCTGAGGACTGCATTAACCCTGACAATAAAAGAACAGACAATTAGTGTGAAACATGTTTTCTCTGCCTTCACTTTGTATGCAAATGTGCTCAGAAGGGTGAAAGTGCCCTTTGACGAGGCCCAGCAGGAGTTCATCAGAAAGAGCATTCATTGGAACCTGCCCAAGAAAAGACTCAAACACTATGCTTAAGCTTTTTAGCCTAAAAGTTGACTTTCTGAGATCTCTGTGTGAAAAGTTCCGTTTCCCAAGAGTCGGTTCAATCGAGTCCACTAGTGGCTTTTTGCTTAGTCAACACTTTGGGTTGGAAGGACACAGGAGAATTGGTGTAAGAGAGAGCTTTCAATAAAGGTATCTCCCATCTGAAACTAATGTGTCAGCACACTGACAGGAAAAGAAGGGAGAAGTGCGTGATAATGAGATGCTTCAAAGAAGTACTTCACACGTGCTAGCGGTTGTTTCCAACGTAACTTTTTTTTCCTCCCACAAACTATGAAACCTTGCACTTAAGAAAAACGTCATGTTCTACAAAAAAAACAAACCAGATTTAGTCTTAAGATAACTCTATAGTCACTAGCTTTCCTAGAATAAGTCCTTCAGATTGTCAGTACTGGTAATGTGCTCCTCCCCTCCCTATTCTACAGTTTGGAGATTTAATTTGCTGCAACAACCCCCTGGGCTTTTGCTTGAGGCAATTTGTCAAACCGCAGCACTTATTACAGCACTTTGGAAACTGAAACAAAACAAGTTCTCTCCATTATATCCCCTTGAGTTGTTGACTTCCTCATCTCTCTCTTTTGTTGTATCTTCAGAGAGAATTTGTTGTTTCCTGCCTCTGTCTTTCTCAATACTGCAGAGACTTTCTGACAGAAAGTCAGAGCAACTTTAGAAAAAAAACCCCAAAAACAATCTGCCTCAACCATCTTTTTTTTTGGCTTCTTTGAAGTCTTGTTTGCTTTTACTGATCCTCTCAGACCAGCGTGCATCTATGGGGACTTACCTAATTGTTTCAGCTACTACATAATTCAGAAATGTACACTGCATGCAGAGAATGGATTTCTTACTTCATTGAATGGAAACGCCAACATCATACCTGTAGATGTTTTGAAAAGGTTTCAAATAGACGCAGTATTAGCTAAACGTGGGCTTTTCTAGCTTACAGTCCACTATAAACAGCTTTTTAAATGTTCCAAAACTAACCAGCATCCATTAAAATGCTTCCTTCTAACAATTCCATTTGTTTTTTAAGTGTTTTTTCCCCTCATAGTTAACACATTTTTAAAGATTTCCCTGACAGATTATACTTGGCTGTGTTAATCATGTTTTTGCTCTTTTTGCCAGTATATTAACTTGGCTTTGTTTCCCTGATTAGTATCAGATTATAGCAAAACATATGAATGAATCATATGGTGCTGTTTTGTAATGTAAAAGCACTGGCTACAACAAGCTATAGACAACTTTTTTCTTGTTTGTCTTGGCTCGTTTTCTCCAAGGGCAGCTTCTGTTCCTTTGTTCATGCAGAATTCCTCCACAACTTCTTTCCAAGAAACTGTGCTGAAGCTTGATTGTATTAGATAGTGTTGTTGGCTGTGTCCGACCAAGTCTTTATTATCGCTGGTACAGTAGTTGCTTTGCTGCTGGCAGTTCTCTTCCAGGTTTTTTTTTATTTTCTGAAATTTTGATATACCCATTTATAATTCATTTGGTTGGTTATACTAGTGGCTAATTTAGCCTAGTCTAAAGCAGAAATTAAGTCTTGTAACCTTACTCCTATTCACCCTGACTAGATTGTTTTAAATTTTCAAACTTGTGATCGATTAGCATCAACACTGCAGATTTCAGACACACACAGATATATATTCTGTAGTTCTTGTGCGTATCAAATCACATTTTTTGTTACTTACACATTTGTACATGGTAGTAAAATGCGTTGTGTACCTGGTCTGGATGGAACACACAAAACTACAATGCAAAAAACAGAGCCTGTGTAGGTGTATTTACAACTGCGTATAAGGATTTAAATTTTTTAAATATAAATTGGCTACAGAATATTATTTAAAATATAAATGATCTCTTTTAGTGTTATTGTTGTTTTGTCTATGTGAGTGTAGCATATGTGGTGGTGTGAAGTGTGTGACTATGTGTGTGTGTGTCATGTGCAATATGTGGTATGAGAATATGAAGTAGAACACCAAGACTTGTACACAGAATTTGGTGTGTGACATTTATTCTTTTAAGTTGTACCATAGTGCTGGTTTACTGTTGGGTAGCTTTTTATACCTACTTGCTAGTCCAGGAACCAAGTGATACTGAGAGCTCATGTTTCATTCCAGACCAATCAGAGCTGTTTAAGTCATAGAGCAGGTTTAATACACTGACTTTACAGAGGAGTGCCGTTTAGGTTTTGTAATACTTGAGCGCTACTTCACAAGTTTCTTGTTCTAATTGGTTGAAGATCTGTCCCATTGTATCCGGAACCATTTTGGATCTGTGCTTATTGATAAATCAAAAATGAACTGTAAGATTCGAGGCTAATCGGCATTTGTACATCTGTCTGAAGATGTCATGCTGTCTCTATTGGTTCATCTAACATGTTCTGGCTCATACAAGCGACTGGCATTTCTAAAGTAAGTGTCACACCTGTCAATAAGTCTCTTTGAGCCGTATTTCAGCTGAAACTCATTTGGTTATGTTGGATCCCTTTGTCGACTCCTGATGTGAAGACAGCTTAAGCAGCAGGTAACCCACACGGTCATATGAGCTGATAACAACAGCAATTTTTACGACTTCCTGGAGGAGTGCAAAAACAGCCTGATTAAAAGTGCTTGCTGGCTCTATAAACAGCTGACTGTCAGAACAGTTATGTGTTAATGCAAGGCTGACAGTTGCGTGAGGGAAGCCACACTGTTCCTCCTGCTTCTCCTCCTCCAATCTTCAGAATGGGCCTGTTTCCACCAGACTGCCAGGTGGCCTTGAGTTCTGCATACTGACAGTAATAATGGAGGATGGGAAACAGCCATTCTCCACACTATCAGTGTTGTTCAGGAATGCAGCTGGGAAAGAATGCTGTTCAGCGTCATATAAAAAGGTCATTTGTGAAACGTATGATGACGATGACTTTCACTTGCCTGATAAGATTGGCTGCAATGGCCAAAGAGCACCTTCACTAAAGATGCTTTCCTCTTTAATTTCTGCCTGGATCATGTCTCACAGTAAATTGGTCTGATTATTCCAAGTGGCTGCATACCACCAACTCATCCTGTCTTTGGGGGTAAGATTAGAACTCATCGTGACATTAGATAATGTGGGTGAGGGTTTTTTTTGGAGCTGTACCTTGTCACAGGGGGCCAGCAAATCTGAAATATAGATGCCAATTAGAGTCAGTCAAGCAGAATACTGCAGGATACCAGAAAATCTTGCAGGAGTTTGCTGTACGCTTACTTTGGTGAACTCATTATGGAGGGCATCATCCAGCAGCTGAGCACGAAGCAGCCACATCGTAAATTCCTACCTTTGAACCTGCTTCCTGATAGCAGTGAATGTAAACAAGCTTTCAAACTCTGCTGCCCCAGCAGCTGGTTTAATGGACACACCTGACTGCCCGGCAGACAAAACACAGGCAAATTACACAACACGCTGCTCCGTTCATGGATTAAGACACGTCTGTAGGTTTGTATTAGGCATGATTTATCTTGTGCTAATGGGGCAGGGAAATGCAGACATATGGCATCTGAAGTGCCAGCTGACAGGGGGGGTTAACCTATGCAGTCTCCATCCTCTAACAGTGCACCTGATTCCATCTGATCCATTCTTTAGTCCTTCCTCTCTTGCTTTATCACAGTCTTCTTCTCTGCCTTCTGATGTTATCTTCCCATTCCTGCTTTTCTCCTGTGTATTTAGATTATAGGGCAGAGGATGTTTATGCGGAGGCATCAGTATAGATTTATTTTTAGCACACCAATTATAGGTAGAAACTCTTTACAGCTTTGACTCCCTGCTTTCTGACTTTAAAAATACAATTTAATAACACTTGGTTGTCACAGTTTCAGAGTAAAGCAGTATCTTTTGGCTTCATAAAGTCAAATAGAAACATACAACATTTATGAAGTGGTCAAAGTCAGGACGTAATGGCTCAGTTTGAGACAATGGACTTTTTTTTTGTTTTTGTCTTGAAGCTGGACGCCAATGCCTTTGCATGGCTGATTGATAGATGAGGATGCACTGCAACCTATTGGTTCCAGGCGACATTGTTTATTAAGCAGAACAAATTGTGAAAGCTTGCTACATCTGCCCCCCTAAGGCAACGCTCTCACTCCTAGCTCAGACAGAGATGTTCTCCCATGCTCTATCTGTGCTAAAATGAATAATGCATGTACTCCTCACGCAGATTGTTTTCCTCATAGACTAAGTGGAAAGTTTGATTGGTAGTAAGTTTTTGTGTCCCTTGAGGGCCTAAGAAAAAGGCCTACAGTGCTCTACTTGTGTGCATCCCAGAGATGCAGTAGATAATTGCAGGGTGTTCTGATAGAGTTGTTTACGTCTCTCGTACCTATTACCTTGATTAGGTTTGTGGTTTTTCAACCACAAACAATGGCAGCTTAGGTTCTCAAGTGAGAGAAAGTGCAGTAAATGTGTACGATGTAAGGCCTGCATAAATTGGAAGAAAAAAGCAGGTGACACTAGGTGATGAAACAGCACGAGAAAGAGAACCCCCTGGTGTGTTTGTATGGCACTAATAAGGTATAGCACAATCACTGAAGCTTTTCTCTTCTCCCCTTGCTCTGCGCAACAAAATCTTGTAGATCATTTTTTGCTTGTTTCTGCCACATAAATTTGTAAGACGAAAGCTGCTCGGTTTGGAGAAGGATATCGAAGCTCCTAGTGTGCATAACAACAGATGGTTACAAATTATGGTAATCATTTAATGACATGGCTCCTCTGCGTTTTCATTGTTTGATTTAAATCAACCACTCGCTATACAAAATATTACCAAATACTGTAATAATTGGAGATTTACACTTTGAATGATGTGAACCCACATGAGGTACTTTGGGAGCTGATGCTTGTCAACACAATCTAGACTTATATTTTCTTTTTACATGTTGCAAAAAAGACATGATTCAAGACATTTGTCAAAGCAGCATAGGATCTCATAGTCTCACAGGGCCACAGAGACAGAAATGCTCATTTAATGTAGTTAATACATTAAAAACAAGGGTGTGAATTTCATTTTCTGCTGCCATGTGTGGCTGGAAAACATACAAGTATGGAGTGATGTCTGTTCTGAAGAAGTGGTCATAAGACTACTTTATTTAACAGGAGCAATTGAGATTGAATGCAAATACAGTAGTCATGTGACAAGTGATATCACTGTGAAGCTAAAAATAATCAAGTTTTGTGATCTTATTAAGTCAATCTGTAGTCTGTGGTGTTGTTAAAGTGGATTCAACTGCACATTCTTACATTGTTGTTGTGGATAAGGAGCAGACTTGAATGAACACCTTTTAGCTATATGTGTTACTGAGCGCAACTGGTTTTCTTCAGTGTTTCTTTTTGGATTAAATACTTATCATTGACTCTCGTATCTCATATCTTTCTCCCCCCCTCTCTCTCTCTCCAGACACAAGCCAACCACCCAGTTAGCTAACAAGGCAGTCAACCAGACTCTAATGCTCTAGCGTGTTTGGCTTAGTCCTAATCCCCCTTGGCTCACTTTAGCCATTATCCAGTCAGGGCTGCAGTTAACAGGCTATATTATGATCAACCAGAGCCATGCAGGGTCAGGAAGAATATGCAGTTATGGGAATAGACAGCTCCCAAGCACTTTCTGCATTTTCTTTTCGAAAGGAATGCAAAGCTTCACCAAATCTTCACATTTTTTACACAAAATGACAGACAAATATGAGGAGAAAGGTGCATGACATTAAAAAGCATAATTCTTCCCTTTCATCACTAAACCATCATTTGTGCGTCTGTAATGAATGTGAGGAATATTTCAATGTGGGGACTGTGTACGTTTGAAAGAGGATTTAGGTCTTAAGATAGATTAAATGCAGCAATAAGAGATGACTGTTTTCCTTTAGGGTTTGTACTTAGAACATGTCATGAACTGTGTATTGTGTTCACACGCTTTCACAGATGATTGATAGGACTCCTGCTCTACCTAGCAGTCCCTGTCACTTTAGGTATATTCACAGACACGGTTAATGCGGCTCATGATGTCTACAATTGTCTTCTTGATGATGATTGACTTGCTCCTGTCTGACAGTGTTTTTAAACCTGCCATGGAAAGACTGTGTCAGTTTAAGTCTTATCTTCCTTTATGGGCACTTTTGTAAACCGTCGACTTTAAAAAGTAGCGGTATCGTAGTAGTGGTACAGAGTTGTGGTTTTTTTTGTGCCATGTGCTATCTACAGTGCAAATGCAAATCTTTGTGCTTTTGTCTTTTGCAGGGAATTAATGCCAAAGTCATCAGAAGGCCAGTTGACCATGGAGAAGACCCCCAGCTACTATGTCACCAAGGAGGTCCCTGCTCGAATATACACCATGTCTAAAGACACTAAGCTGATCGTGGTCGTCCGGGATCCAGTCACACGAGCCATCTCAGACTACACCCAGACGCGCTCCAAGAAGCCGGACATCCCCTCTTTTGAGAGCTTGACCTTTAAGAACATGTCAGCAGGTCTGATTGACACCACATGGAGCGCCGTTCAAATTGGCATGTATGCCAAGCACCTTGAGCGCTGGCTACAGTACTTCCCCATGGAGCAGCTGCTGTTTGTTAGTGGAGAGCGTCTCATTACCGACCCTGCAGGTGAGATGGCTCGAGTCCAGGATTTTCTTGGACTCAAGAGGGTGGTAACAGAGAAGCATTTCCACTTTAACCCAGCAAAAGGCTTCCCCTGCCTTAAGAGACCTGAGGGAAACAGCAAGCCACACTGCTTGGGTAAAACCAAAGGCAGGACCCATCCTAATATCGACCCGGAGGTGGTGCAGAGGCTAAGGGACTTTTATAAACCCTTTAATAGCAAGTTTTACCACATGACTGGTCATGACTTTGGCTGGGACTAAGAGGAAAATGATGACAGACTCATGTTGGTCCCTCGTCTGTGTTTTTATAATTTTATCATTCTGAAGATATTGTTATACAGTGTATGTACAGTATTTGGTGGTGTATAAAAAGCTCAAAAGTCTATTTTATGATAATTTATTGTTATGATATTAACTCACTTAGCTGCCTAACCAGGTTTATTCATGGTTTCAATTCTCATGACATAAATAAACATTTTTCTAAAAGCACAGTGTTTTTACAGGAATTAAAAGCAGGATCGGGAAAGGATTTTTTTTTTTTTGGGGGGGCGAGATTCACCTTAAACTGATTGAGATCCAACTCAACAAACAACTGGTAATATCCCCTTAACATTTGCCTGACCCTCAGAGGTCTGTGGGCCCACTTAGCCAGGTCGATACAGGCCTCAGCTGATCCAGTGCAACTCGCCAGGTGGATCAATACCATAATAGCTCCTCATCATGTCAATTAGACCTGAGTGATGGCACTGCCTGGATCTCTCGAGAATCTCAATAAAACGTTGATCCATTAATGGTAGTAAGTTTATGGTTGACCCCTGAGCCAAATTCAAGTTAATAGACGAATATAAATTTCCCTTGCAATGTTCTGTCTGAGCCACTATTTATATTGTTTCTACAAAGGAATGTTGATGACGATCCAATAGGGAGCCCGGTCACTACACTTTTTTTGGGGGGGTGTTTTTGCTGCTGCCCAAGCTTTATAATGCCTAAACACAAAATAAAAAGCAGTCGCATTTATTGATCTGTACCGAAATTGCTCTCATTGATCACTCTGTGCAGCTATTTCGCTGCAGGTGATACTAGACGCGTTAATTATGCCCTTTCCCACGGTGCATCAGCTGCTAGTGTGAAAAATAGCGCCCGAGGAGAATTAAAACTAACCTCAAAAAAAATCCTAATCTAAGTTTCATTTATGGTTGAGTTTTATTCAGCCTGTATAAACATTCATTTGTCATCATTCATCGTCATTCCATAATGATGAGCTGCAACCCTGTTGTGGTCGATCCACTATTTGGCTGTAGGCTTTCCTTTTCAAACACAGAAATGAAGCAGGTTTAACTGAGATGTTTATTAAAAAGTGCAGCCATGTCATTTTTATGAAGTAAGAAATAAATCTGTTTTATTAAAATTAAATAATACGGTGTCTGTCATGTTTGGACTTACTACATTGTTATTTTTAAATGCTGTACTTGCTGAATATGTTGTACTTGTGTTACGACTCACACCACCCCCACATTACCTGTATAGTATCCTGAATCCCTGCAGACGAAGGTGCACCGCTGTGTCTAATTTACCATCGTGCACATTATTGTGTTAACGGGATAATTAGCACAGTGCTGTTAACTACTTTTAGCTGTTTCAGCCTCCTACTGTCTCCATAGAGGCTTTTGTTGCCATGACCCCCACAAACACACAACAAAGTGTCAGGTTTCTCATCTGGAGAGACTTGACATATTATGAAAAGCATTTTTTATGTTCCTGTGTGAGACTTAACAGTCCACGCTCCATAAAAAAAATGTTTGCAGAGCTGCTGTTACTGCTGATGAAACAATATTCACAGAGTTACTGTTGCATGTATTTCTTCTCACACAAGAAATATTGAATATCTCCTGTCAATATGTGCTGCCATATTTCATGGATGCGCTACAGCTCGTCTGTGAACTTGCCTCAAGCAGCCGGTTCCATCCATCATGCAGCACGGCTAACCGCAGAGCAAAGGTTATGGTTCAGGAGAGATATGAATCACCTCGCTCTATTAACAAACAACCTTTATTCAACTCCCCAGCAAAACACCCTCATTTACCTGAGGCTGCCAAAGGTGATGAAGCCAGTCTCCCTGGTGGCAGGCTGGGGTCTGATCACCCAGGAAGAAGCTCCCTTTGCAATTAAAGGGATAGAGGAGGGGTGCTGTAATTGCTAGGCTCCCAACTGGGGAATTGCTGTTAGCGCACATCCCTCCAGGCTGTTGTAAGGGAGGCTGCTGTTGTTTGAAGGTTGGGATGACAAGCAAAATAGACACCTGGCAGCCCTGAGAGTTAAGTGACTTCAAACATCCACTTGGCAGCCACCACTGGGGAATAAAATCAGAGCTGCTGATACAAGTAAAAGAAAATAAAACATCACACAACAGCCAGACTGTTTGGTTTAGAGAACAGATGTACAGAGAAGTGAAGTTTGGATAGAGGCATCAGGGGGAACTGTAGCCTCATTAGGATCTTAATGAAGAGTCTTCATATTGTGCCAATATGTCAGTCACGCAAGAATCGACTAACATGTTCGGTCCGTGCCAGAAGACATGATTACAAATCATTAATTCACTTTACATTTGACTCGACTGTGGGCCGAGTTTCTCCTTTTAAGTCAGTGATTCAGGACTTTGGCCTGAAATCACCCAGTCAGATTTACAGTTAGCTTGTATTTGACATTTGCGACAGTATGCAACAGCTGAGAGAAAGAGCGAGGAGGGGATGACATAAGCAGAGGTGCAAGGCTGATGTTAAACCAAGAATAAATCATGTGCGTTGTGTGTGCCTCAGCCCTTAGAGATATCCATCCATTAGCTATACCTGCTTATCCTTCAGAGGGTCATGAAGGGGCTAAAGTCTATTCTTGCTGACATTAGACAGGAGGCTAGTCGCACTGTGTACAAGCTGCCAGTCAGATTCACACTCACATCAGCCCTTTCGGGAAATTTAGGGCTACCAATTAACCAAACGAGCATTGGACTGTGGGAGGCAGGCAAGGCTGGTTTGAAGAGAGGTGACAGTGCTAACCAACAATCTATCATCAACATAGAGACACACCAGGGTAAAAGAAAATAAACTAAACTAGCCAACAGGAAAAAAAAATAGCAGAATTCTATCATGTCCTCTGGTCCATCAGTCCATTTTTGGATTAAAAATTAAAATAAAGTGATTGATTGAGACAACCTAAGCTAGAATTTGTTAAGCTGTGTAGACTATATGACATTACTTATGTTAGTTTCCTAATGCCGGTTGCATGGATTAAATTAGCTTCTGTTACTTTTTTATACTTACTTTGCTGACCTTTTCAGTCTTACATGGAATGAATGAGCCCTTAAGCAATATGAGCAGCATGTAACAACCAAACAAGAGTCTTTTTTAAACTATCACCCTGTACTTATAGCTTTGAATATGTCCAGAAAATATTATCATCAACATCTTGACAAATCTAAAGACAGATCATGGAAGTCAAAAACAGTTGATTTCAATACTGTGCTACCTAATGTGTAGCAGGAATGTCTTAAAATACTGAATCTTCAAGCACTTAAAACACAATCTCTTGGACAAAAGTAACATGTCACCAGTCTACAGAGCACCCAAATTAGAATAAAAAGAACAAGGAGATAATCGTTCTCGGGTAAACTTTGTTTCAGAGCTTAATAAGACAATTGCCTTCCTCTCTGGCCCTTAATCTTTATTGTGCATTGTCCAAACCCTAATCCTAATCCGATAGGAAGGGCAAGCATTAATCTGAGACAGTAGACTTGGAGTTGACATATATGTGCTGACATAGCTAATCCAAATGTAATCCCTCTTCCAAAAGGGCTTCCTAGCTTTGTGTGCAACCGACTTGAATTTACGTAACTTCAAATGCAACTGAGAATTTGTATTTGAAGATGAGGCAGATGTTTCTCTAAACTACTGATTTGTGCATAACACTCCCACACCTTGGGCTTGTCAGGTCAAATCTAATTACTGTATTCACTGCTGTCAGATTCTGATGTGTTGCTACTGTACACGAGCTCCTCTGTGGCAGGATCTAGACTTGTGAATGCTCTATTGCCTCTGAAAGCAATCTGTCACAACACGTGGCATAACTAAACATTTCTCAGCATGTTGCTCTTAAAATAGTACCACATTTCATTTGGTAAAAGGCAGCCGAGACGTTCATGTCCAAAAAAATAAAATAAAATAAATTTAACACAATAATTTATTTTTACAGATTTTGGACTTAATGTATAGAAAACACTGTAAAACACCAACCCAAACCTATAATGCACTGATTAGGCCCAAACTGTTTATGAAACATCTGTGAAAGTGAAGGCGCAACAAAGAATTTAAACCTGATAGTGCCTTTAAGTAGTGCTAGTGAAACAGTATTTTGTAGGCACATTAGTACTGATTTTAAATAAAATGTAAAAACTACATCTGTGCTGTTTTTTTGTTTTGGAAACCTTGGCCTTTAACATTACAGCTGCGGATGCAATCAACTCTTCTACATGTTTTCATGCTGCTCATGTTCACAGTGTTCTTGATCTGTGGCTTATTTTTGGCTCATCGAGGGCTGAAACAGATGTATAAAGAGTCCTCAGACCTCTTTTTAATCACATTTTTCATTTAGTAATTGCTTTGACTCTAATTAGCCTTCAAGAATTAGCATCACTTTACTTCATGTGCTTGTCAGTGTTTTTTTTTTTTTTTTTAACTCTTGGTTTAATGCCACATGAAAGTGTTCTCATCTTGTCCCTGATGGAATTTTGTTTACTCTGGCTTCTTCTGGTGCAACATCCAGAAAATCAAACCTTTTGTTCTTTTCTTTAAACCGTATATTGATGATTTCACCATTGCTCTCAAAGGGCTTCATCCAATGAGATTATTAGACTTCACATGTGACACTCTACACGGGCATCAAGTTGATCTTTGAAGTTGCTCAGATTTTTTCTTTTATCGTATTGCCAGTCATCTCCTACATCTAATTTCAATCATATTTTGCTATGTGACTGCATAAAGCTTATCAGTGGATGTTGTTTAGGGGACAAACAGATACTGTGATGTTGTGAAGACTGGAAGTTGCATCACTGTCAGTGAAATCCACTTGTTGTAACCAGAGATTCCCTGGAGGAAAGGTATGAAGGCAGAAGTGCCCTCTAACCAATACAGGCAGTTCCATCGTTAATGCTCATTCTGTGGTCTCCCAGCACTATTTGTTGCAGTCGCCCGCCTGCCTGGTACCACTTTGGACCCACCATTAGGCCAGACCACTCCAAATCCCAGTGGCATGCCATTCTAATGACTTTATTACTCAGTGTAGCCACTCACTGAGTCCCTGATCACAATGGGAGCACAGATTTTCTGGAATTGTAGGAGATTTTTAAAATAAAGCGTATTATCAAAGCCCATTTAAAGCATATATAACTCAATGTCTTTAAAGCATTTTAACGATGCTCTTGTTTTGTTTTTTTTTGCTTTGACTGACATCAGTCACATGGGACCAGTAGGAGAAAATCAGCATTAGTTGCTTAGGCTCTGCCACCTGTGACCCCACCCAGCTCAGACATGCCACTGCTTTTCCAGTCTTATCCTGCTTTCTCTGTAATGAGGTGTGCAGAGCCCTCTACTCTCAATGCACCCTTGTCACCTTCATAATCCAAGATTCGGACGAGACCCTCAGTGGGATTATCAACTGGACTGTCTGTCGTCTGTCTGTAACCTCCACAAAGGCTGAGCAGGAGGATCCTATAGCTGATGATAATCTGGAGTCTGAGGTATAGGGCTGTCTGGCCTCATGCACAGCAAGTTGCATTTATCTGGACTGTATTTGTCATAGATTATGATATCTTAAAGCAGTGTATTTGAATACAGCAGACTTTCCTCTGGCAATATCAGAGACAACTCCATGAGGCATTATATTTAATAAATGTATATTGTGGAACATATTCACGTGTGACTGTGGGCAAGGATAAATACGGCGGGCAGTTGGAGTTCATGATTCAAAGATTTATTGGCTTCTAACTGAGATCTCAATAAAAATTAACTAGGGACAATAATATGTGGGCGTCGAGCATCTGAGAAACAGTTCACACAGAGATAATTTCAAGGCTTTCAGGGATTTAATCTGATTTTGCAATTAATTGGTTCGTTAAACTCCTGCTCCTGGGATTAAACGGAAATTAAAGCAATGCCAGAGCAGAGCAGGGAATTTCCCAAGACGGTCCCTTCACCAGACTCTGTTTATCTCTCCCTATCCATGCTAACGCAATCACTTATCTCTCCCCGGGTATTTTTGGTGCTTATTTTCAACAGGCCACAAGCTTGTTTTTGGTATGTAGGCTAAGCACTGTACGTTTGGAATCCATTATCCTAAATCGATACATCAACTGGATCAGATTT